TTATTTTTTTCAGTGACAACAACCTAAGACTATGTCTACACTTGCATGACAACACTTTTGTCATTCATTAATGCTTAATATCACACACACCATGAAGGACAAATTTTTGCTGCAGCACCTGTGAGCACTGTTTTATTGGCAGGCGTTCTCTCTTGATGAGTAAATGAAACTCACTTGGTGGTGGTTAGAAGTATTGTCTGCAAAAGAGCAGACAAAAAGCATTCACACGTGCTGACTTAACGACAGAGCTATTTCTACACAACCTTGTCACTAAAAGCTGCATAATGTAGACATGCACTACATGGTGTAGCTCAGAGGTGGCCAACCCTGCAGCTTGCGAGCTGTGGGTTGCCCACCTCTGTATTGAAATAGCTGTTTTAACAACAGCTATTTCAATACAGAGGTGGGCAACCCACAGCTCGCAAGCTGCAGGGTTGGCCACCTCTGAGCTACACCATGTAGTGCATGTCTACATTATGCAGCTTTTAGTGACAAGGTTGTGTAGAAATAGCTCTGTCGTTAAGTCAGCACGTGTGAATGCTTTTTGTCTGCTCTTTTGCAGACAATACTTCTAACCACCACCAAGTGAGTTTCATTTACTCATCAAGAGAGAACGCCTGCCAATAAAACAGTGCTCACAGGTGCTGCAGCAAAAATTTGTCCTGCATGGTGTGTGTGATATTAAGCATTCATGAATGACAAAAGTGTTGCAGCTTTTCCAAGAAAAAATTGCAGCTCCAGCACCCACGGTTCTTAAAGAAGCAGAGTGTTTGTCTTCTTTCTGAGAAAGATAGAACCAGAGTTGCAGTGTCCTATGCAGACTTCAAAATGGACACCTTATTAGGGCAATGCCTGCTCAGCTCTTAAAAGGGCAAACTTTTTTTTTTTTCCCTTCTCAACAACTTTTGTCCCCTCAGCTCTTTTCACTGTATCCACCACTATTTTGGCTCCTCATCTGTAATGGGTTGGCCACTCCTGGTGTAGCTATTTATATCAATAGTAGATTTAAAAAAAAAAAATCTTCAGTCTAAAGTCTCTTAAGTTTGCCACTTTGAATCAAAAGAGTTCAGAGTTAAAAAATTAAGACGGCTAAGACTAACCAGTTGGTTAGTAAAGTGCTCTGAGTGTGTTCTAAATTGAGGAAGAGATTACAATAAAATCTATTACCCCAAAACAGTAGCAAAGTAGCCATGGCAGATAAAAGAATTACATCTAACTCCTTCTGAATTTAAATTTTCATTAAATCTGTTTCCAGACTTTAAGGTCATGCAACAAAGTGATCTTCCTCCATCTGCAGGTAGACTACTGCAATGCCCCTTCAGCTGTTACTAATTTCTACTGGCAGCAGTGCAACTATCAAGCATGTCAGTTTCATGCTCCTGCAGTTAAAAAGATAGGAGGAGCAGCAGCAGTGAAAGGCAAAGAAACAATTTACTGAAGGACTGAAGAGAAGATGTAGTAGTATAGTCATCTCCCCAGATCCTCAACTTCACAACTAGCTAGGCAGGAGAGAAGTAAAGCAAGGCTCAGTCTACTGTAGAAGTTTGCTGGCATAGCTATACAGCCAGCCCACTGAATGTATATGCAGCTTATTATAGAAAAAAGTATTTGTACTGGTATAACATGCATTTCTTGATGAAGAGAAGAATTATATAAAAATTAAAATTCTGCCAAGTCTAATTTCCACAACTAAGATCACTGTTTATTTTTAAGCATTCTTTCTGATTGTTATTTAAAGTTCATAGTTGTAGGACACTAGAGGATAGGATTAGTTAATTATTTAATGGCATGTTGACATTCAAAAGGTAAAACTTTATAAATGTAAAACAAATTATCTCAAATATTCAAAGGAAACATCCTTAACCTCTAAAAGTTCTCAACCAACAGTTTTTATTTTGCCTCACTGTTCATTTCAGTCATCCAGGAAAATTATTTTTTCATTAGTTTGAAGTTGACATTTACTGATATTAACCAATACAAATCAAATCCTTGCAAGACCGATTATATCCTTCCTGCACAACTATTTTTGTCTTACTTATTTTGCACATTAGATAGTCACTTCAAGTGGAGCTAAATGCTTACGGTTTATTAACTTTACCATTCAAGCAAAGAAAGATGCATAGTATTAATAGCACCATCACTATACAGACCAATTGGATCACGTAGTACCTATGGAAAAAGCAACAGATGACAAAGAGCAGGACACTACAACAATGAATACAAAGGCTTTTTCTAGTTTGCTTCCCCCATGCTCCTTTCAAATTAACTAAATTTACACCTAGGAATATTACAAATATTACAGCATCTTAAAGTGCACAATGGAATTTAGCTTATAAAAATTACACGAGGAAACGTAAGCCTTAAGAATATGTTTAAGATGATAAATACTGGTTAAAATCTTGCATATTAACAAAAGCCATCTACATTTACTAGGTTTCATAACACATACATACCACACCCAATGCTGAGAACACTCAGCATTGTGTCTCAAAGCTGCTAAGATACATAGCCATACAAAACTGCAGGATTCTAATATTCCTATCTAGTGACAAGTAGATTTCAAATACAGATGGTAAAAGGCAAGTTGAAAGGGAATATATGAAATGTGATCCTGGAGGTTTACATTTCAGGGGAAGAGCCCAGTCTGTCTTGAAGGCAAAGAAAATTTCTATTTCCAGAATTACCTATTAACAAAAACTGGATACCCCATCATTTGTTCCTTTTTCTTAATATTAAAGAGCCAAATGATAGAACTGGTTGTTTAAAATGAATCTATAACTAAGTACGCTGTGTCAACAGGTAAGGAAGCAGAAACCTGAGAGCCACAGGTGAAAGAGCAGGTCAACCAGTTGGTCTCCTTCCTTAAACATGAAGCACTTTTTAATTAAAGATGGATTGATTTACACAATAGGCACTGACACAGATACAACTCTACAGACATTAGGTATACAATTAGTTCAGTTACCATGGGGAAGAAAGGTTGTACTGTGGTCAAATACTCACATTCTGCCATGACATTTTGTATGCACCAAGTTACACACATTTATCAAGAATGTAAGAAGTTGATAACATCCAAATTTGACTGAAGACATCTTATTCAGCCACTTGATTATTTTTTCTACCTACGATTCTGGTGGACAAACAGCACAGGTGGAAACTCATCAGGACTGAGGTAACTGTAAGGCAGTAATACTGAACCAGTGGCTCTCACACCAAATGAGGTTCAAAGCCTTATACAGGGTATCCTAAGCACCTCTTTTTTACTACAGGGCCATACAAAAAGAGTGCTAAACAAATGGCCTGGAGTCTCTAGGCTACTTCTCCTTCCTTTAGACAAGAAAGTAAAATAGAAAGAGGAGTATTGGGCCAAATTCATCAGTGACATATCACCAAGTTAACATCAAAGATTAATTGGGCCCTTTGGTAAGAATGCCACAAAAATCACGATTAATTCTGACATGATACTGTAATGAGGTGTCAATACATGAAAATGTTGCAATGAGCTAATAGTCACTATTCAACATCATTACATGATCCTCAAAAAGGAATATGTTGTGGATCTCCATGACTCCATTCACTGGGTGAAAGCTGGATCCTTATGATTTATGGACCCAAGACCGTAAACTCTACAGTCAGAATGCAGAGCAAATCTAGCTATTTCCATATAAATAAATCCAGATAGCCACAAATCTGAGCATTAATGTTACAAAAGCCCAGTTCCAGCAACTGGATCTTGTAGGATTTATTCTATTTTGGCTGTCACCCACAAAATTCTATGACATACAATGTAGTAGACTCTATGAGTCTATGATTGTTCCTATGGCACCAAAAAAGTTCAAACCACATTGCATCCCAGCACAAGTTTAGCTAAAACCTAGATGTGGCATCTGGAGACTGGCAGTTTTTTGGACAGCACTGTACATACAACCTGAATAAAAAAGTAACTACACTGGAAAAAAAAATCTGAATTCTGATGCATTTCAGCCCAATAACCCTGAAGAAACAAAACCTTGTACCTGAATTCTCTTATTTTTAACTCCAATCCCTCAAATTCTACTCTCTGAACAAAAAAGCAGGTCTCAAAGAACTTAAAAAATACGGTAGACTTTTTACAAACTGGCACAAAAGTAACATATATGGACGTTTCTTGAGCTAGATCTTTTTAAAATCTCAAATCCCAAAATTCTACCAGCTAAAGAAAAATGCAACTAATTTGACTGCAAAAATTCACACACCATGAACTAGCACTGCAAAAAACACATCTCTGTACCCGAAGTCTTTGGGAGCCCACAATTGTTTTAAGTCAAGCTCTCAAGTTCCCAAATGGTACTGTCAAATTAAACACATAGAAGATTAGGGTTAGACGAAACCTTGAGCCATCATTCTAGTCCAACACGCTGCTCCAAGCACAACCAATCCCAACTAAATCATTTCAGTGAAGGCTTTGTTAAGTCTTTGTTAAAAACCTCTAAGGATGGAAATTCCACCACCCCTCCACACAACCCATTCCAGGGCTTTATCACCCTCTTAGTGAAATAGTTTTTCAACAATAGTTTAGTAACACATGTTGCTAATCTCACTCATACAGAAAAATCCAGACTCCAACACTTCCTGGCACAAGAACAATGCAAAAAACTGTGCATCTGGCATTTAGGTCTCCCCAGATCCATAACATTTTTATCCACAGACCTCTAAATTGTACTGTTTAGAATATAGCTGTTCCTAGGACATCACAGAAGTCTGGCCCTGACACAAGGAGCACTTGAAACAATCCAAATATGGCTCTGGCTCCAACAAGATATAGCCCAGTTTTTCCATTTCCATTGCCAACATTTTACCTTTTAGCTACACCCAAAGTGGAGTCTTCCTTTTCTACAGTAGTTTTCTATTTAGTTTGTACAAATGTACAGGGGATCAAGAGGTAGCAAAGTTACAACAGGTGACACAGAATGGGAAGAAGGCGGCTATGTAGAGGGGTCCTAGCTGTGTTGGGGCCTCACCTCCTGGATGCGTTTGCGGGCCCGCTGCAGCACCTCTTCGTAGCCCTTCTGCTGCAGTTCACTCAGGCTCTCATAATACTCTTCGGGGTCATCCGTCTCGGTGAAGAGCACCTGAGAAAGGATCTTCCATCCGCAGGTGTCCAAACTATGGCCCAGGTAAACCTGTAGCTGGTAGCACAGGGAGTCCATCTCCAGCTCGGACAACTCCGGGGCCCCGAATAACACCGTCCACATGCCCGAGGGTTCTTCGGGGAAGACAGGCAGGCAGGGCTCTAGCTCCGAGTTCACCGAGCAGAGCTGCTGATGCACGGCTCGCAAGTCCTGGAAGGAGAAGAGGCCTGCCCAGCTGCACTCCTCCCCCGGGGAGTCCGTCTCTGCCGCCGGCTCGGCGCCTTGGCGGACGGCAGGCTCCTCCCTCACCA